TCTCTCTCTCTCTCTCTCTCTCTCTCTCTCTCTCTCTCTCTCTCTCTCTCTGTGTGCCTCTCCTTTTCTACCTCCCTACCCTCCTTCCGTTGAATCAAGCGGTGTCAGCGTAAGTGGGTTTGAAACTTTGCATGCTTGGAGTAATGCGGCTCCGAGTTGCTGTTTGATCAGAAAACGTTGCGCGTGTGGCGATTTGCGATTTTGCCCTTGCATTTTGAGCCCCAAATTTCTGATGTGATGGTACCATGAGCTTAATACCGACGCAATTTGCAATCATCAGGAACCTACTTGCTCTTGGGGTTTGGTTCTAGCTTCGGCAGGGGACGTCACACCATGACCTTAATACCGACGCAATTTGCAATCATCAGGAACCTACCTGCTCTTGGGGTTTGGTTCTAGCTTCGGCAGGGGACGCCACACTACCGTAGTCGAGATCTTGTAAAAAGTCCACAGGGGACATCGCTCTGTCTGTCTGGGGTTAAACCTACATGCGCAACTTCCCTTCACTCTCCTTGCTCCTTTTTCCTGCTGATTTTTCTTTGAAACATGTTAACTCCTCCCTTGTTTTTTGTGTTCTTTTTTCTTTTCTTTTCTTTTCTTTTCTTTTCTTTTTTGGCGAATCCCGGGATTCTTATTGTTGTAAAAGGGCCCAGTGCTCAAGTCAACACAAGAATCGAAACATCAACCACGTTTCCGCGGGAACCTACAGGCCTCTCTCGTGGTTAACCTCAGACACAGCGCCGCCCGTGGTTAACCTCAGACATGGACTCCTTTTTTTATTTTGGTTACATGACGGACGTCGTCTAACAGCTTCTGAATGCAATCCAATGCGTTTTTTTTTGGTTTTTTTTTATAATCCGTATTCTATCTATTCAGTCGGAAATTTTGGTAACTGACCCAAAAATGCGCCTACTCTATGTTTGGCAAGAAAAGAACTGGATGGCAATCCGCACGGGGCAGCCTAGTAATGCCCCCTCTCGTTTTTTGCTACCCCCCCAAGCAGGGCCTGCCTCCTCTCCACTTCCCCCCCCCCCCCCCCCCGCCGGGCTTTTGCCATTTCCTCGCGGCTTCCATAACGACGAGAAAACAAAGAAAATTTCAAAACAGCGTACCCTGCGTGCGTGTGTGTGTGCGCGCGGGTGGGCGTGTACAAGCGATCTGCTTTGTTGTGTTCCTTTGATTACTTCTTTTCTTGTTGCTGTTTTTTTTTACGTGAAATAATTAAGTAATTAAGGGAACTCGCCTATTGCTTTTGTGCAGGGTACGGAAGACGGGATCTTCGGTACATCCGGCGGATTCGGATTCACGAAGCAGAATGAGCTCTTCGTCGGTAGATTGGCGATGCTCGGGTTCGCGGTATGTAGACTTTTCCTCTCCT